ACTGAACTATATTAAAAAATAATATTTTGTATATATTTTGTACAACACCGACCACTATTAACAAGATTAAATTTTTCAATTGAAAATTTTATACTATTAAAAATTATCTATTTTTACTGTTAATTTTAAAAAAAAAACTAACTACACAATTATAAATATATCAACACGATGCACTTTATAAAACACCACGTTGCACTTTATAGAATAACACGTTGCACTTTATAAATGTGCAGTTATTAAAATTTTTATAAATTGTAAATTTAATCCATTAATTGAATTGTAATATAATAAAGCTTATAAATTACAATTGAGTCCCTTCAACATATAAAATTTTCAAAAAAACAACTGATAAACAACATTGCACATTATGCAACTCGTTGGGAAATTTTGTAAGTTTTTTAATTTTTAACGTGCATATACATACACGCTAGTGTGCAATGTATTTATCATTAATATGCAATAAAAAGAATAGTAATGTGCAGTGGTTTGAATAGTAATATGCAAATATTAGACTTTTAATAAATTTCATATTTAACCCATAGACCAAATTGTAATATATTAAAAATCCCAAAATTGTAAATGAGTCCCTATGGGATGTCAAATTTCCAACAACAGGCCCAAAATCAAATCTGATTCATCCCACTTTACAATCGCCGATTTCAGCCCAAACTCCGGCATATGTCCTGGTGAACGGACCTCCGGCGATTAAGACGGCGTCCTTGTGGTCAGCGGAGGCTGATTTCACCAAGGAGGTGGCGAGATGGAAATGACGATGGATGTCTCCGGTGGCCGCAGGCTCTGGTTCGTCGTGGAGGACACAAACTAGCCGTCGAATTCAAGTCCTTTGACGTCGAGAGATAGATCGTTGTAGAAAATCGCCGGCTGATTGGCCGATTTGGCCGTCGCCGGGCGGAATGTGTGATGGTCATTGCCGGAGTATACTGCCTGGAATCTGCGCCGGTGGCCATCGACACCAACCCACTGAAGGCGGCGACAACGACGTGGGCGGAAGGAAGGTGGTGGCCGGCGACACCGCCGGCGGGAGGAATGTGTGAATGTGTGTGTATCCCGTCGATGTATTTGAGTGTGTGTTTGTGTGTGAAGGAGAGAGAGGTGTGATTTTAATTGTGATTGGTGGGACCCACCTGGATAGTAGATGAATATGCAATGACATTAATGTCCTTACCAAGTGGGCAAATTTGTACATTTGACCACAATATGGACACTTATTTACAAGACTAGTATGCGACCTGTGCATTTGCACATATATATATAAATTATTGTGAGTTTGTATGCATATAATGATTAATTATTTTTCTTTCACTTTTTTGCAGACCAAATTTACTTAAAAGAGTTGGAATATTTTTTTTTAATGCGTTTATCTGATTGGATGTAATGTTTATTTTGGTACGTCTTTTATTTGTGAATGATTTATTATTTATTTAGGAATTTCAAATATATTTTCTATTTTTTAAAAAGAAATTAAATGTAACAACAATAATAACATCTAATCACATTATACGGTCAACACATTATATGGTCAACTGTCATTAATCAAAAGTTTAAATTAATTTTTATAATTTTAAAGTGATGAGTATTAATTATTTAATGATTAAATGAAAGATTAAATACATCAAAATGTAACGGTTTTTGGAGGGAAAATTGTTAAATTGCCACATAGGTAAAATTAAATAGGTTTTATTAAATGTTTTGAGCTAGTAATTATATATATATAGATTGCCATTGACTGTTTGACAATTATTTAATAAAATTGACTTAATCATGTCCATTGATATGTTGGATCCAATGGTACATATTTATTCTTATTTCTCTCACTATCTACCATTCTCATATCCTAACTCTATTATATATACTAGTAATCACCCGTGCGATGCACGGGGAAATTATTATCTATACGCTTTTTAGAATGCACTTTTGTATATAAATTATGTAATAATGCAATGATCGTGATCATAAGAATAGACATATAAACATATAATTAAACTGAAAAGATCATATATTATTGAACACTTCCATATATACAACATTATTAGTTTGATTCTTTGGCATGTCATCTTCACTACAAATTAAGATTTTTAAACATTTTCGATTAGTGACATGTGAGACAACAACATATAACTGGTCATGACTGAACACTGGTTTATTAAGAAATAAGCAAGATGAGATAAGGATTGTCCCTGGCTCTTGTTTATAGTCATGGCGCAAGAAACCATAATGGGAATTGAAATGAATTCTAACATCATAAGAAGTTATGGTCATTTTTGGAATCAACACCTTATCACCAGCATGATCTCCTGTGAGTATCTTACACTCACGAACATGACTGGATAGCTTTGTCACAACCAATCGTGTCCCATTACACAAACCCACAGAATGATCCATGTTCCGCAACAACATGACCGGAGTTCCAATTTTCAAATACAACTCATGGTTCGGTATTCTGGAACACTTGATACTATTAAAAAAACTCAGGCATATGGAGATCAGACAAAAAATCATTATTAGAATCCGATTTGCATGTACTGTCAGAACTCAAGTACATACGACCATCCAACAAATTCAATGATGTCATGTACTCATTGATAGACTCGGCCACATCCAACGTCGGCGCTATAATTCAAATTACAAATCAACTCCCAATTTTTCAAAGAATTTAAAAAAAAGTTATCAATTGTAGTAAAATCTAAAATTTTAGGCGAGAACTTTTTTTCAACTTAAAGTAGATCTCTATTGTTATTTTATAGTATTAGATTGAATTTCCAAAAGAACTAAGTCAAAGGTTTTGACTCAAATTTTTTATCAAGTTTCTATAAATGATTTTTTAATCAACCTCTTTCAATATATATATATATAGATATATAAGTACATATATAGTACTCCCTCCTTTTTTTAATAAGTATCGTTTTGAAAAGTTGCACAGTCATTAAGATTTTTTTTTTGTAAATAATAACCCTCATTAATGAGGATAGAGATGGATGTTTTGATAAAAGATGAAGAATAAATATGAAAAGATGCAGTGTATTTATTAGCTAGATTGGGGTAATAATGAAAAAATATGTACAAAAGATCCAAAACGTCATTTATTTAGTTAATTGTTAATAAAGTCAAAATGGCATTTAAAAAAAAAAGGAGGTAGTATCTATTAATATATAAAAAAAACAAAGGATTTATTATATATAATAATTTAAAACTTACCAAGAATGTTTAAATTACTTATAACGAAATTTGTTTTATATGGCTTGATATTACATTTACATTGATATATTTTGATCACCTACAATCATGCTCCCTAAGTAACTAATAAATTAGATATCCTTGGTGTATATATTTCACATGTGACCTTTCAATTCGGAAAGAATCAATTGACATTATCCTCATCCACAATTCAACATCATCCTCCCGGTTTTTTGTTAAGAAATTGATTCGAATATTGCTTTTAAAATCTCATTTTTTTTACTCAAAATGCACGTGCTTTTTAACAAATTTTCCTAAATTAGTAAGTCAAACAAATTAATTAATAAGTCAAACATTCTATTTAAGTATTTTTCCAACAACCTTTTTATATATATTAAAAAGAATCATTATTTACTCCTGAAAATGAAGCCGATTTTCCTGCCAATAAAATGATTTTTTTATCAAACAAATTGATCCGAATATTTTTTTAAACCAAATAAAAAATCATCAATTTTTCCTAAAAATGCAATCGAATTTTCCTAAAACTGTACCAATTTTTTTACCAAACAAATTGAATTGAAAATAATTTTAATAAAAAATTGAAACAATTTGTTAATGTTTATGCAACTGTCTCTCTCCTAAAGAAAATGATATGAACTTAACAAAAAAAAAATGATATGAACTTACCAAAATCTCGGTAAAACATGGTTAAGAAAAAATATAAGAATCCAAAAAAATCGATGCATTTAAATTTTAAAAAGTTGCACAGAATTTTTCCTAATAAATTGGATAAGGTGACTTTAAATATCAAAGATGAATCACTTTTGTTACCAAAAATGTGGACACAATTTCGAATGTACATCCCGTCCAAATATCAGTTTTATTCTAAAATAAAAATTGCACGTGGTTTTATCCAATTTGCACACTTTTTTTAAAAGAAAAAATTATTCAATAAGATTGGAAGAATTGGTTAAGAATTATACAACTATTTGTTTCCTAAATTCGTATCCAATTTGTACGGTTTTTAAGTTAATTTGTATTTAGAATTGTTTTTATAAATAATTGACACATTTTTTGCATAAGAATCTCCAAATTTGTTACCAAAATATATGATTTAAATTTTGGTAAAAGAAAAAACAAAATATGATGCGAAAAAAATGGGATTCAAAATTTGTCATAAGAATCTTCAAATTAGTTACCAAAAAAATAGGATTCAGATTTTGTTACTAAAGATTCACATGTATTTTTTCGAACTTTCCATTTATAGTAAGTCAATTGTTTTATTTATTAGGTCAAACTTTCTATTAATGTATTTTTCCAACAACCTCTTTATATATATATATATATATATATATATCACCATATTATTTCTATTTATTTAAGATTTATATTTTTTTTACTTAATAATAGTAAATAACATCGATAATTTTATATGATAAGTACAAAAATTCAATGAGTTAAAATTTTTGTTTAATATACGGGTGTTTAATTATTATGATTAAAAAAATATAATTTAACAATTTAATTAAAATTCAAAGTAATGTTTTATATAAAATTAAATTCTTTTAGTTCAAAAAAATAATAATATTTTTTACATATGCTTCCTAATTCAACACCCGTGTATTTACACTGGTATTGTACTAGTAATTGATAAAAAAACAAATACCGAATCATTTTGTAATTTATACAAACATTCTTTAGATTTGGCAGGATTCTGCGTCAATGTCGCCGTTTTCAAATACAGACAGTTCAATTTGAAGACCTTAAAACCTTGTTAAGGTAAATACAGACAGTTCAATTTTACCTTAAAACCTTGTTAAGGTAAATACGGACAGTTCAATTTTAGACCTTAAAACCTTGTTAAGGTAAACTCCAAGTGCCCATATGGGAAAAATGTTTCTGTAAGTTGAGTAGCTTATCATACAGTTTCGGTTGAATACACCAATAATTTCCTGTTGAAGAAAAGGAAAAAAAATGTTGATTTAAGTTTTCAATTCAAGTAATATGTTTTGGTTTACTGAACTTAGTCATCAAACATTTAGTTAGTATCTGACTTGGCATGGTGCTAGCTCTTTTTTTTTTTGTGTGCAGTCTGATTTTTTTTCTTTTGAAAACTAAATTTGTGGACCTAAAAAAATTGAATATTTATTGATGTTATGACCATTTTTTTTTTTGTGTTATTTTAAAGTTGGTATCGTGTTTCTGTTTCACATTTGCATAGCAAGAAATGGATTTGTTAAACATATTTTACTTGGAAACATTTTTATTGTCCTCAATTACTCTGTTTTTCACTACACAAAAGTACCTGCTGAGGAAAATCTCCATTCACCATTTGTGAATTGATCAGCACTTTGGCCGCACGGTGCAATGGAGTCGAGTCCCGATCAGCCTGCAAATCAACAAACAATCAAAAACTGCATTTTTTTTTTTTTTTTGCACATTCTTGTGTATGATGATGATGACTTACTTGTCCTGCTTCGACAAGTGCCAGCATGGCCCATGCAGTGTTTACGATGTGCGGTTTGTTCTCTCCAAGACTCGTGTATACCTATGTTTTCAGACTCGAAACATAATGAAAAAATCGAGGCAATTTAGAATCTTGGTCAAGCGTAAATAAATTTTTTACAGCGTTTTGCTTCACCTTGTCTTGGCTCGAGAGGTAGCTTTCGCCCCATCCTCCACATGAGAGTTGTTTTGACAGCAAAAACTCGCAAGCTTTTCTAACGGATGAGCTGTTTGCGTACGTTTTGCCGCCATTGATAAGTCCAGTTAACCCGAACCACGTCCCGTACGTGTAGCACACTCCCCAAGAACCATACCTAGTTAATTTTACCTTTTAGNTTTTTTTTTTTTTTTTTTTTTTATGAATAAAGTGAAGTTCTTTGTGAATAGCTTGATTAGCGGTTAACTTTACCATGAGCCGTCGGGTAACTGTTTGCTTTCTATGAATTTAACCGATTTTTGTATGCACGTGTCGACTTCTTTTCCTCGGTAATCGGGATAGAGTTTTCGGAAGAGCTTCAAACCTTGGATTGCAGCAGACGTGCACTCGACATACCTATGTTAAACAACAAAAAGATGCAGAGAAATATTCGATTTCGAAGGTATAGTATAGTGTATTCAAGAAACAATTGTGGTTTAGTTAGTTAATTAGTTAGTTATGAGGAAATAACAGACATTTTTTTCTACTTGAATACAGCTAGAAACGTTCGAAACGATTCGACTTACGGGTAGTCGATCACGATGTCACCAAACGTTTCTGAAGGATTAATCATCTGTCGATGAACAAATGCATGTATTTTGATCAAATCTCTTAATCGATTCTTATGTAAATAGTGTTTAGAATGTGTTGTCGTTCATTACCTCTAACCAAGCGTAGGATCTCGTAAGTTCGTACGAGGCAAAACCTCCATCGTTGTTCTGCAGCATTAGATAGATGATTTCTGAAAATATTCTCAATAGAGATGC